TCAGCACTATCTAATTCCATAATGTTTTCATCACTCCAAAAAGCAACTGCTTACCTCTTAACTGTCACTCTCAATTCTCTTCTCCCTTCATCCCCTGGCAGCTACTTTTTGTGTTGATAAACTTGCCTGTTTCTGGATGTTTCGTATAAATGTAATCATACAACATGTGGCTTTTTGTACCTGGCTCTTTTTTTTTTTTCTGGAGACAGAGTCTCGCTCTGTTGCCCAGGCTGGAGTGCAGTGGCGCAATCTCCGCTGACTGAAACTTCCACCTCCTGGGTTCAATCAGTGTCAATTCTGCTACCTCCTCCTCCCAAGTAGCTGGGATCACAGTCACCCACCACCACACCTGACTAATTTTTCTGTTTCTAGTAAAGATGGGATTTCGCCATGTTGGTCAGGCTGGTCTTGAACCGCTTACCTCAGGTGATCCACCTGCCTTGGCTTCCCAAAGTGCTAGGATTATGGGCCTGAGTCTCTGCACCTTGCCCACATTTACTTTTTATTATGAGGCTGTTTTTTAAGGAGATTAAAAAGTTTAAATTGGAGAAATGGATGACAGTAGTTTTATTTTAGTCCCAGCATTACATTTATTTCTATATTCAGTTTTTGTTTCAAAATATAGAGAAAATTCTTTCTCATAGTCAAATTGTATATGGTAACAGATTTTTTGGCCAGGCATGGTGGCTCACGCCTGTAATCCCATCACTTTGGGAGGCGAGGCAGGAGAATCGCTTGAACCCAGGAGGCAGAGGTTGCAGTGAGCTGAGATCACTGCATTGCACTCCAGCCTGGGCAAAAAAAGCAAGACTCTGTCTCAAAACAAAACAAAACAAAAAAGCAGATTTTTTTTCCCTAACAGTTCATAGTATCATCTGAATATTTCCAATTTCAACTGATTCAGAACCTAAAGAGGATTAGCCAGACATTTTGTTTGGAAGTTGATTTGATAATATCTAACAACTGCTCATGTTTCCTTCCGTAAAATCTACAAGTCAGACAAGAAGAGTTCAGAAGGAATATTATCATTGGTCATTTGTTACACATTCCAATTCACTTGTTTATTACATCAGAATGAAAGCATGCCTCAGCAGATGTGCCTGGTCTTACTGAGCTAGCATTTACTTGAATGTGACATGTACATATTACACAGTATTATTCTATTGAGGCAGAAGCAGACCTGGATTATTTTTAAATGTCCAATACAGAGCTATATCCTCTTAAATGTGTTTGTCAGAAGCTCAAATATATACCCAAATATGACAGCAAAAGCTTTTTTCTAAATGCTGTATGAAAAATGAATTATCTTAGCAGTACAAATGAACTCATTGATTTCTTCCTTTCTGCCCACGCTTCTCCCCAAATTCCTCTCTTTTCTCCTCCTAGTCCCCAAGTTTTGCAGCAAAAGTCAAAGTTTTTTTTTAAGTCCCTTAAGTGAGCATAAAATAAAAATAACTGTTTTCTTTAAGGAACCCCAGCCATTTTAGTGGGAGCCACTGTTCTTGAGATTACCTGGGAGGTGGGAAAAGACTACACAGATTATGAAGTCTGTAGAATGGATAAGTGAAGATGGTGCTGGACTGGGAATCATCTTTGTAGATAATCTCGTAAGACTCTTGGCCAACTGTGGAAGACAGGTGCCCGCTGAGGAAGTAGTATGGTGCAGGGAGTTTAGATATCTGCTGGGCTATATCCCCTCTAGGTTTATGGATAATTAGGTGTTTTTAGATTCCCATCTGCATTAAGGAAGAATAAATTAAGCTTACTGATTTTTTTTTTTTTTTTAAGATTTTCTTTATGTAAAAGCCCACGATTTTCTGAGGCCATCTAAAATTAATTGCAGAGCAGATGGAGAAGGGTAAAGAAACAAGAAAACCTTACTCTTACTTTTTAAAAGCTTTAAACCTAGAATGTAATAGTTGGGTTCTGGGCCTGTCCAAAAATATTCATTTATATTTTGAATTACAGCAGGTAATAAATGAATATGAACAAACATTAAATGGCTTGATTCAAGATGTTGATAAATGCTGGGGGGTTTTTAGAGTATTTTTAAGCTTAATGGTATTACATCAGATAACAGCTGTAGGAAAGTGTTCTCTCAGATGTGGGGCTTCATATGTAACATTACACAATGAGTCATTCTTCCAGCTGAATCAAGTGAGTCTGTTTCTGGGATGGGTGAAAGAACTGGACTAAGACCTGAGGCACTTTTTAAATTTTTTTTCTTTTCCATATGGAGTCTCACTTTGTTGCCCTGAACTGGAGTGCAATGGCGTGATCTCGGCACACTGCCACCTCTGCCTCCCAGGTTCAAGTGATTCTCCTGCCTCAGCCTCCTGAGTAGCTGCGACTACAGGCGCGCACTACCACGCCTGGCTAATTTTTGTATTTTTAGTAGAGACGGGGCTTCACCACGTTGGTCAGGCTGGTCTCATGATCTACCTGCCTTGGCCACCCAAATTGTTGATATTACAGCATGAGCCACTGTGCTTAGCCTAAATTGTTATTTTTGTTAACTTTGAATGAATACAAAATGAGTGTTTTTTATTTAGCATTTTATTTCTTTTATTTATTTATTTTATATTTTTTGAGGCAGAGTCTCACTCTGTCGCCCAGACTGGAGTGCAGTGCAGTGCATTGGCACGATTTCAGTTCACTGTAATCTCTGCCTCCTGGGTTCAAATGATTCTCATACCTCAGGCTCCCAAGTAGTTGGGATTACAGGCGCAAGCCACATGCCTGGCTGATTTTTTTGTATTTTAGTAGAGATGATGTTTCACCATGTTGGCCAGACTGGTCTTCAACTCCTGACCTCAGGTGATCCGCCCACCTCAGCCTCCCAGAGTGCTGGGATTATTGGCGCAAGGCCCATCACACCCAGACTAATTTTATTTTAAAACATGTTGTTACCTCAGTAATTCTGCCTTTGGCCAGGTAATCTCCCTTAGTGGTAGAGCAGAGGTTTGGAATCAGGAAGCTCTTCTGGTCTCTTTCATAGATTAACACTGTAAGGGACAATCTAACCACCTTGGATCTGTTTCCTTATCTTGATTAATAGATCCAGGCTGCAAAGAAAGGAAGCTATCAGCCACAAGTGGTTATTGAGCCTTAGAATTGTGGCTAATACAATTTTTTT